AAGGTTGTGTTGGTAATGTACACATTAAATAACATCATATCCCCGTTCTTCAAGGTTATGTTGGTAATGTACACATTAAATAACATCATATCCCCGTTCTTCAAGGTTATGTTGGTAATGTACACATTAAATAACATCATATCCCCGTTCTTCAAGGTTATGTTGGTAATGTATACATTACATAACATCATATCCCCGTTCTTCAAGGTTGTGTTGGTAATGTACACATTAAATAACATCATATCCCCGTTCTTCAAGGTTATGTCGCTAATGTACACATTAAATAACATCATATCCCCGTTCGTCAAGGTTATGTTGGTAATTTACACATTAAATAACATCATATCCCCGTTCTTCAAGGTTATGTTGGTAATGTACACATTAAATAACATCATATCCCCGTTCTTCAAGGTTATGTCAGACATAGCTTCTAGAATGGTAAGTATATGCCAAGATTATTTTTGGGAAAATGTCAGACATAGCTTCTGGAATGGTAAGTATATGCCAAGATTATTTTTGGGAAAATGTCAGACATAGCTTCTGGAATGGTAAGTATATGCCAAGATTATTTTTGGGAAAATGTCAGACATAGCTTCTGGAATGGTAAGTATATGCCAAGATTATTTTTGGGAAAATGTCACACATAGCTTCTGGAATGGTAAGAATATGCCAAGATTATTTTGGGGAAAATGTCAGGTATACGTATTGGAAAACGGTACAATAATATTCTTGTTTAGTGTGTAACCACTGCTTGCTGTCAATTCCAATATCCTACTCAATATTAAACGGTGTTTACATATCAACGACTATTGGATTGAGATGACTACATGTAATGTAATGACTGTTAAAGTTGTAGCAACCCGTAATAGAATGTGATGAGTGGAAAAGTTTTGACTTCATGGAAGATTATGTTTTTCTACTGGATTTTAGAATGAAAGTGGTATCGTTAATTTCACTTCATTTATGATGTTTCATAGCATTGTGTGTTCAATGTTAGTGAAAAATGAGAGTGAACAAAAAACTTCAACTCTTCAAGGTCAGAAAAGAATTGTTTCTCACGAGTGATGAAGGGCCAGAAAAGAAATGTTTTCTCATTCATGGAAACATTTGGTTACGCTAGCTATTTGTTGGCGAGTCTAGACATTGAGACTGGAGACAAGGGTTGAGGGAGGCCACAGTTTGTCACCTGGCGCTCTAGTGGACTATTAGAGTAGACACAGACGTACACCATGAAACGTTTAACTAATTTACATCATCAAATGAAGTGCCCGTAGAAAATAAGGAAAATTTACGAGTGAAACTTAAAAAATCCACAACTGTATTTTACGTAAGAATAAGATAAACATACGTCGTTGGAACAAGGAAAAAATACAAAGTTGAAGTCTAAACGATAGAACATCGCAGAGGAAAAGGTCGATCTTCGATGAACCTTTAAATTTAAACTTTTTACGTTTATAGAATAGTTAGAGAAAGCTATTGAAGAATAAAGATTATTTGAAACATCGCACACTGTAAAACTACTGAATAATAACATCAACATAATAATACCGTAGTAACTGATGTGCTAGATTAAATTGTTGGTGGACATTCCATTGTTGAACTTCATTGAAATACATCGGTGAAATTAAACTAATGTCCCCTCTCCCAAAAAAAACACACCACAGATTGCTATGATAGCCGAAATATTTTCTGACGAACATTAACTAAGTATGTCATTAAGCGTTAATGTGACGTCACAGATATTCTCTGTTGAAGAATCATATAACTATCTTAGAACTGTATCGTGTATGTCCTAAATATCCTCTTATATCAATAAAACTATGTCATTACTAGATGTTAGCTATTATATAGTGAATGTAATCCCTAGCCACTTCAAAGGAACATTGTCCTCTCTAATCTACAACTAGATGTTAGCTATTATATAGTGAATGTAATCCCTAGCCACTTCAAAGGAACATTGTCCTCTCTAATCTACAACTAGATGTTAGCTATTATATAGTGAATGTAATCCCTAGCCATTTCAAGGGAACGTTGTCCTCTTTAATCTACAACTAGATGTTAGCTATTATATAGTGAATGTAATCCCTAGTCACTCCAAGGGAACATTGTCCTCTCTAATCTACAACTAGATGTTAGATATTATATAGTGAATGTAATCCCTAGCCATTTCAAGGGAACGTTGTCCTCTTTAATCTACAACTAGATGTTAGCTATTATATAGTGAATGAAATCCCTAGCCACTCCAAGGGAACGTTGTCCTCTTTAATCTACAACTAGATGTTAGCTAGTATATAGTGAATGAAATCCCTAGCCACTCCAAGGGAACGTTGTCCTCTCTAATCTACAACTAGATGTTAGCTAGTATATAGTGAATGAAATCCCTAGCCACTCCAAGGGAACGTTGTCCTCTCTAATCTACAACTAGATGTTAGCTATTATATAGTGAATGAAATCCTTAG